AAGCGACAATTATATCTATAGTTATCGTAATCACATTTTGTTAAATTTATCATTTAAATGATTAAAATATATGCAATATTTTACAACTACAATCCATAATCATAAACATTATTATAACAAACATATTGTTCTTTGCTATAATAATATACTTGATTGCGGCAAACATTTAAGTGATTAATATAACAGAATATGATGGTGACAATTATAAATATGACTACTGTGCCATCATAAACATATTTGAATGGAAATTGTAATCCATAAAACATTTTTCTGCGTGTACAATTGCACAAGAACAAAAAAGATATGATACGTAAAAATATTTTCAAAACCATCTAGAGTTATTAACTTTTAGTTTAAGTATAATGGTTTTCTAATAATGTAAATAAAAGTTCTACATTTACTACTACTAACTATACTCGTTGTAATAATAAAATTAAATTTTTAGTTTTCCATTATACTTTCCGAAGGCATAATGATTAAGTTTAATATTATTTCTAAACAGGCTTAGGAGGTAATGACTACATTTTCAATTACAATTACATTTGAAGTAATTGTAATTGAAGCATTACCAATTACAATTACATGTAATTGTAATTGAAGTTTTGCCAATTACAATTATTTTTAATTGTAATTGAAGTTTTGCCAATTACAATAACTTGTAATTGTAATTGAAGTTTTGCCAATTACAATTACTTGTAATTGTGTTTGAAGAAATTCCAATTACAATTACTTGTAATTGTATTTGAAGAAATTCCAATTACAATTACTTGTAATTGTGAATTTTGCTCCTTATAATTACATGTAATTTGTAATTAGTAATACCTAAATTACAATTACAAGTAATTGTAATTGAAAATTTCAATTACAGATATAAGTAATTGTAATTGGCAAAACTTCAATTACAATTACAAATAATTGTAATTAGTTATTTGTCAATTACACATTACAAGTAATTGTAATTGACCTTGTAATTAATTACTTTGTGTAATCATTACCCCCATGCCTGTATCTAAATAACAATTGGAATTTTTCCAATTACAATTACTTGTAATGTGTAATTGACAAATAACTAATTACAATTATTTGTAATTGTAATTGAAGTTTTGCCAATTACAATTACTTGTATTTGTAATTGAAATTTTCAATTACAATTACTTGTAATTGTAATTTAGGTATTACTAATTACAAATTACATGTAATTATAAGGAACAAAATTCACAATTACAAGTAATTGTGATTGGCAAAACTTCAATTACAATTACAAGTAATTGTAATTGACAAAACTTCAATTACAATTAAAAATAATTGTAATTGGCAAAACTTCAATTACAATTACATGTAATTGTAATTGGTAATGCTTCAATTACAATTACTTCAAATGTAATTGTAATTGAAAATGTAGTCATTACCCCCAAGCCTGCTAAATAAGTTTAAGATGCTAAGTTAATTTAAATCTTGGGCTTTCGGAATAACATTAAATATCCTGTTATCGTTTCCCTGCAAATCTCAGTTTTATTTTGTATAGTATACATAGTTTTAAGGGGTGGCGTGTCATAATGTCCATGGACGTTATGTCAAACAAAAAAGAGTCATGGTGACCATGGACATAACGTCCACTTTTATAAGTATCATAATGTTCATGAGAAAAGTGGCATAAAGCCCATGGATTACAAATATTCCATTCATCATGAAAAGACTTAATATAGCGAACCCGGAATTCAAAAAACATCGGAGTTTGAAATACTATGACTCTTTTTGGTAAGACATAAGGAGCACCGTTTGGTTGTCGATTTGTGCTTTAACCAGGCGGTGGCGTGTCACAATGTCCATGGACGTTATAACACATTAAAGTGAGTCATAGTGTACATTGACGTTGTGGCAATTTTAACAGTATCACAAAGTCCATGATCAATGTGACATGGATTTCACAGAGTCTTAATTTAGCGAAGCCGTCTGAAGGCTTGATATCCAGGACACTTTTTGAAAAGAATCCAAAATGGTGGCGTGTCATAATGTCTATGGACACACTAAATTGAGCCATAATGTCCATAAATGATATAACAATTTCAAAATTATCACAATGTCCATGAGCAATGTGACATAAAGTCCATGGATTTCAATGAGTCCATTTATCAAAGTTAGGCTTAATTTAGCGAAGCCGGTATTCGAAATACCCCAGAATTTAAAATCCCTGTGCCCGGCCGACACTTTTTAAAAGGAATCCAAAATACAACATACACCAAATTTAGGAGCAATTCATTTCGGGATAAGAGTGTCTTTCTTAAATTCTAAACAAATTTTCCAATATATTTCTGTTTTAAAAGTGTCAAAATGTCCACTTTTAAATGTGTAATAACGTCCATGGACATTAGGACACGCTACCTTAACAGAAATAAGGACATATATAGTATATGTATGTAAGTAATACTTTTAATATCCTACGAATAACAATTTCGTGGCTAAAAATCAATTCAATTGACATATAACGAAAAAAATGTATTTTCTCAATTTTACATGAAATATACATCTTCCAAAAGTCCATTCACCCTTTTAACCTCAATTGTACAAATGTACTACATAATATGTATTTCCATTCATCAAAAAGAAAAACAGTTATTGATATTTTCAATAAAACAAAACATCTGCAGTTTTAAAACAAAACAACGGCAAAAGTTAGTTAAAAACAGAAACCAGAAAAAATTGAAATCCTTTTGATATCAAAATGCACAAAAGTAACAGAGCAGCTAAATAATGATCAAAGTATTGGCCATAAATAAAGGAGTAATTGAGAAACAACAGAAATAAAAAAACGGCTAAAATTCGAACGGGTTAACGTTCAATGATCCGTGAAAGGATGAAAACCAAAAAAGAAAAAAAAAAATAAATACAAAAATTTAGCATGAACTAAATTAGGGTCTAAAGGACTATAGAAATGTTTATATGTTAAAAACCAATAGATAATTTGTTGGATTATTAGGTTTAAGATACACAAATAAAATTTAAAAAAAGTTAACTTCCCAAATAAAATATTCATAATTTTTTATCAAAGTTAATTAGATAATTTGATTACAAATAATTTTTATTGTTTGCTATGTTTGCGCTGTTTATATTTAAAAGATACATACTTACGTACATACATACATACATATATTTATTATTTATTGTCTGTCTCTTATTTTTAAGTCTGTCCAGCTGTCTCCTGTTTTAATAACAAACAGAATTTGTCTGACAATCACAAACACATAAAGGCTGATATTTTATCTGAGTTTATTAATGTGTTTGTGTGTGAGTGTTTGTGTAAGAGTATCTGTGTATTTCTTTTTGCTCTGATCGTATTGTTGTAGTTTTCTGTCTGTCGTCATGAATTTTAGTGAACATCTGCTCATCGGTTTCCTTTATATTTTTATTTTATTCTGTTCATTTCATTTTATTTTTTTAACTAAATAACAGAATTTCAGTTTGAAATTTTTAAATGTTTTTATTGTAAAATATATAGTAAAAGTCTGGCATTATTCAAAATTCAGGTTTTTTGAACTGAATAATAAAAAGTATACACCGTTATAAGGTTTTTTATTTAGTTTTATCTATTTTAAAAAAAGTCTACTATATTCGGTGTAAAGGTTTTTAAAGTTAAAATTAGAGTTCATTTATGGACCACTTAACGTTCTTATCAAGTCTTGTCCAATAGTCTATGAATATATATTTTTTTTAAATAGAAATGGGTTCTTACTCTAACCTAACAACTGACCTATTTTGTACAAATCGAAACAAGTATCCAAATAACTAAATTAATTACAATACAGCTGCCTTTAGGAATTTACCATCGGAAGAGAAACAAACAAAGTACATATAACTTATTTCCAGCTGCTTAAAAAAATCTTTTGGAATCTTTAAGATATTTAAATGATAAATCTTAATTGTACGTTGTAAACACTTAAATACTTTAAGTACCTATTTCAACTATTCGTGTATCTTTGAGTTAGTATGTGTAAATGAAAAGTAAAATTATATGGACAACGTCTTCCTGTTAAAGGAAACAAAAACTAGTTTGAAGATCTCGTCAACAATTTTGTAAGATGATATTTCGTATCAATTTGTTGATGTCTTCCTTTCATTTTTGTTCGTTTGTTTTTTTCACTTTTTGTGAATTTTTCTCTGTCCGAATTGATGCTGACAATTATAATTAATGTCACTTGCTTGAACAAATTACAAACGGAAATACGGTCATAACAGCAGCTACAAGAACAACAAAAAAAACTTTAAATGATCTTCAGTTATAACACTTATTTTATACATTCAGTTTTTTTGTTTGCTATTCAGAATTCTCGGGCAGAATTAAATATTTTTTTATTTGGTTTATCAAGATTTTGAAGAAAAGGATGCCTGTGACTGCTTACGTTTGTTTTCAACTACTAATTATATGATATCAGCTGTACTTTTATTTGTTATTTTTGTTGTTATTGTTGTAATTTACACACATTATTTAGGTTATTCAACGGGCTAAAAACGTGTTTAAACGCTGAAAAGCATGTGTATGCCAAACATGAAACACATGTTCTTCATCAGCGCAGATGAAGACTGTAAAGAATCTGAAGAAGAGAAGACGACACATCAATTAAACTAGTGAAAACAAAAAGAGCAACAACATAAACATCAATGGCAACAAAAATCCTTAAACAAAGATGCTGCAGCACTACTATGGTCACAACACCGACGTACTGGAGGAAAAAAACATCTGGTGTTTTGTAGGTTCACGATTTTTTTTTTCATTTACTGGAAAAACGCGTTTATACTTTGCCACACAATTGACATAAATCGTAAAATCTACAAATTTTGCACACTCACTCACAGACACATGGATATAATTTACGTTAAGAAGCGATTATATTGAAACCTGTTTCTTTGTCCGGTTCCTTGGCCTTTTTGGCCAAGTCAATACGAGCCGTGACTGTTTGAAATCATGAATGAATTTTGCATTTTTTTATTTGTTGTATTCTTACCTTTTTCTCGGTCAGTTTTTCACATCTACGTTGTTTGCAGATTTGATGACTTTTATCGTTGCGGCAGGGAGCACAATCACCACAGTTATCTTTGCGCTGGCAACCGATGCATTCGCCACAACGTTTACGTTTCTTTTTTGACTGGAAAATGTTAGAAGGCATCTATAAGAATTTGATCACAATTGGTGTTTGTTGCGTAAACTAGTACTTAACCAAGACAATAAAGTTATAGATGGAACCGATATTTGATCGGTCTAACTTTCCATTCCTTTATTATCTTGTCAATATGTTAACTTACCTGTTTTTCCCCGGTACCATCATTGCTGTCTCCTATGCCCAAACTACTTATGGGACTCTTAAAATTAGCAGTACTTGAGACAGCATCTACTTGGCCGGGATTGCTGGGGTCCACATCCATGGCACTGGCCTCAGATTCGGCGCTGGACTCCAGCGAATGGGCCCGATTTTTCCGCCTCTCTTTCTTTCGGGCATCCACTCTAGCCACCGGCGAGTTTAGAACTTTGTCCGCCTTCAGAGGCGTAGTTGTCGAGGGAGTGGGCGTATGCGGCTGGGTTGTGTGTGGTGTATGAGATCCCGTACTAGTGTGGGTCGAGTGGGGTGTATGATAACCAGTATTATTAGCACCTACTCCACTATTGGAAATATCCATCATTGACGAACTGCTGGCACCATCGTACGAAGGTGTGGGCGTATGCATGCCCAGTGGCGTGGCTATAGTATTTGGCGTATTCGATGTAGTAGCACTCATGTGTGAACCATTTGAATTTGTATTGAGATCAAATGCTGACATAGAATTATCCTTTTTGCCCAGTGAGGACAATGACGATAAAGACAGTGATGATGATGTGGATTGTATCGAGGGGGGTACTAATGAACTGGGCGTGGGAGGAGCATATGAAGGTGTCAATGGTTGATATAGTAGCGGATCGGAAGCATAACTACTGGCCACCGAACTGGTTAAACTTGGCGCTATATCACGAGCTGGCAAGGCCGCTGGCACTAATGGATATGCGGGCCGGTGATGAGGATGAAAAGCATTGGCCGGCACTGGTGGAGGTGGTGCACCCAAAGGTGCAAACCCCGTCGTCGGTGGCGTTATGCTTGTTTGCAAACTCGACAGCTGAGTGAGAGGGGAACCTACACTCACCATACCCGGTGAACTAACCGATATACTGGCTGGTGACATGGCCACTGTTTGCAGAGAATTCAAAGATGGATTAAGACCAGTTGTGGTGGAGGAGGCCGTTGGCGGTATGGGTGTGCCATCGGCCATTAATTGATCGAAGCCATGGAATTGACTCGAGAAGGAGGGCAGTTTTGAAAATGGCTCAAAGCCACTCTTTGGTTGTGGTGGATTGGAACTGGAGTTGCTGTTTGTGTCTTTGGACTCCATTTCCCAAGGGCGCGTGTAATTGTTATTAGAACCGTTAGTTTGAGAACTTACAGAATCATTGGTATTACTATTGCTGGTCGAACTGGCATGTGTGTTGTTGTTGTTGCTGCTAGAATTGTTATTTCCTGGATTGGTACCATTTTGACTTTCGACTGTGGCAACGGAACTTGAACCATTTGTGGCCGTCGGGGCATTATTATTGGAAGTTGACGTTGAGTTATTGCTGGTACTAGTGGGTGTAGACGATTGTAAAGGCTGTTGTGTTTGCTGGGACTGTTGAGGCTGCTGCTGCTGTTGTTGTTGCTGGGGCGGTGGCTGCCGCGCATAATAATCCCAATGTTGTTGCTGTTGTAGCTGATGTTGCTGATACAACTGCTGTTGTGTATGTGGCTGACTGTGCTGTTGTATGCCCGGATAGGCAACGTGATGTTGTTGATATTGTTGCTGGTGAGGATGATGCGGCTGAAATGTGGCCGTTGAGGGCGCTTGATAAGCGTGTGTATAATGATGGCTTAGACTGCTTAAATGTTGCAAGTGGGTATTGTGCAAATTACTGGATGTAACTGCAGAAGCAGATGTAACGTGATGTTGCTGATTAAGTTGCTGTTGCTGCAACTGGTGCTGCTGCTGTTGTTGGGCTTGTTGTTGTTGCTGTTGATGATGGTGCAGTAGAGAGTTTGCAGACGTTTCTTGTGTACCGCCGCTGGATTGTGCCACTATTGAAGACGCCATTTAAGTTTACCCTGTTGCATGGCCGTTGTTGTAAGCACTCTTAACAGGGGTCAGTCAGAAATTTTTATTTATTTTACTTACAACTTGCAGTTGTAGTTGTAGTGGTATATTGTTCGAAAAATGTGTGTATCCTTCGTTAAACTTTTTTCCAAAAAACAATTTTTTTATTAAATTTTAACTGAAATATTTTTTTTGTTTGTTTGTGGCTGCATGAAATTTGTACCTTAACTTTTGTGCTTTAGTTTTTGTTTATTTTTTTATTATTGAATAAAATAGCTTTTTTTGTTGTTTTAAATATTTGTACACTTGTTGTTGTTTTACACTTTTGAGGTAGTTTTTCAAAATAATTTTAGGGTTTTATTTAAGCATATTTTTGTATTTTTAGCTTTTCACTGGGAATAATTTATGTTTTTATTAAGAAATTTACTACAACACTACTGTAATATTTGTAGTTTTGTTTTTAATAATATTTTAATAATTATTTGTTTTTTATTTGTTTGTTGATGTTTTAAGTTGTACGTATTTCGTTATAATTTTTGTGTATTTGATTATTTTGCAAAAAAATGTTTAATTGATTATGGAGTAAATTTGTTTTTCTTTGTTTATTTATTTATTGATTATAGAATTATTTAATATTTGAAAAATTTGTAATTGTGCAGACTATATTTGTTAATATTTTTTTTTTTTACTTATTTTTTTATACTAACAATGGTAATTTTGAATAAAAAAATTGTTTCTTTTTGTACTTTTAACTGTTATAAGTAATATTTATATTTATTTAAACTTGGATATTTGCAAAAAAATTTGTAATTCTTTTTAAAATTTGTATTTTTGGTTTGAAATTTGTTTTATTTTCAAAAAAAAGTTATATGGTATAATTTTTTGTTTATTAATTATTTATCAGACTTGTTTTAAAGATTATTTTATGTTTTTTTGTTTATTAAAAATTTGTTGTTGTTTTGTTGGTTTTTATTTTATACTATTGCGTTGCTAATAAATTTTTTGTTAAAATTTGTATTTTGTACTTTTGTTTAGTAATTATTTTGTTTTTGTTTATAAAAATATATTTATATTAATATAATATTTAGAAAAGAAAAACATTGGTTTTTTGTTCTTGTTTTTTTTTTATTTAATATTTTTTTAATTATTTGGGGTGTAAATTTGTAGGTTTGTTTTTTTTTTTTAATTATTTTCTTAAATTTGTGGCGTTTTATGTTATTTTTTGTTATTTTAATTAATTTATTGCTTATTTATTTTATTGAATTATTTAATTTATGTCTTCCTTGGGTTTGTTTGTTTTGCTTATTAATATATTTTTATTTAAATCTTAATTAACAATTGTTGACTTATTTAATTAAATTTAAATTTATTTTATTATATTATGTATATTTTGTTTTTTATTTAATTTATTTTATAAGGGAAAATTTTGTAAATTTTCATAAAATTTATTTTGGTTTTAGTTAAAATTTGTTTCTTGTTGTTTTACAAAAATTTTTTATTAAAAATTTTTTTCATTAAATTTTGGGAGATTTTTGCAGCTTTTGGTTTATTTGTTCATATCTGTAAAAAAATAAAGGAAAATATTACGATTATTAAATTTAGTATATAAATTTCGGCTGTTGCATTTAAAGCTAAAAATTATATTGACTGTTTATAGTAAGCGCTGATTTTGTTCATTCCATGTTCAGTGCTTATTCTCTACCTTACAAAATACCCGAATCTGTTTTTCTTAATTTACTTTATAAAATCTTTATAATTTAATAATTAAACTTATATTTGCACTATTAAACTAAATATTAATTATAGTACATATCTCAATATGTCCAATTTACTTATTTTAGCTTTATATAACAGCTTGTATAAATTATATAAAATATTTTTGCATTTTTATTGCCAGTAATTTCAATTCATATCATATTTTATGGCTTTCAAAGGTTAAAGATAAGATAAAAACCAAATAATAAATAAAACACCAAATAAGTTATTTTATATGTTTTTTTGCAACAAATATTGAATTAATTGTGTTTGAATATTATTTGAATTCTAATTATGGAAATAGAAAAAAATACTTAACAATGACAGTAATTGTTAAATTTCTGTTATAAATTAAATGTCATTTAACAACATACATACATTACTTTTGTTTAATAACTAAGCATTTTTAAATAAATTTATATTTATTTAGCTAGATTTAAAAATTTGTTTTATTTGTCCTAAAAGGGCTGTTGCAATTTTCTAAATAAAATAAATTGAAAAAAAATGTTTAAGTATTTTTCTAATCACAATATTTACAATTATTTGTAATTTTTTTACTAATTCATTAAATTGAGTTTTAGCAATATAACCATAAAACATTATTTTGTCACTGTTTACCTATAAATATTGATATTGAATTAGTAAAGGTATTCACAGTATAGGCCGCCCGTCAGTCATCGTCAATCTAAATTTGACGATATCCTTAAAATCAAGTTCATTGTTTACCACCAACTGTGATATGCCTTAATGTAAAGAATTTTTTTGTATTAAAATGTATTTATATAGAGGTAGATCTATATAAATATATATACAATTTTTTATTTACCGATTTGGTATTGTTTGATAAAATAACTACAACAACAGCAGCAAAAAAATACTGTACAGAATTACTTTTATTTTTATTTATTTTAAAAATACCCAGCAAAAATTTTCATTTCAAAGAAAAGGATTAAAATAATGGTTTTCACACCTACATTTACACCTACATCATATAAACATTTTAACTCATTACTATAAAGGACTTACTACAAATGCTTACAAGTAATGCATTACAATGCTATAAACTTATTAGAATCTCCTACGAAAATATGATAAGAGATAGATGATTAAGTGTTTATATAAAATATTCCTAATAAGTCATTACTATACTACTTCTAGGTAATAAATTAAAGTATGCTTATCATTATTCATATCATTATTTTTACTGGGATACTAAAATATTTGTGTAGTTTGGTTGAGTTCGTAATAGAATTCGCAAGAGGAAACACTAATTGCACGTGTATTTAAGTGCATATAAGAGATGTAGATGAATGAATAAAAGAATGGATGATGGTTAGATGGATGGATGGATGGTTGGTTGGTTGGATAGATGCATAAATAATATACATATTTTTTCTCTCAATTTTTTTTAAATTTTTTTGGGGGGTGGAGACAAGGTGAGGCAAAAATATATATACTATTATAACGGATTTTATATATTTCGTACATTTGGTTGTTGTTGTTGGTTCAGAATCTGATTCTGGTTTTGTTTTTCTCGCATTTCATTTGTGTGCAACATTCCCCTACAAAATGCATATGCTTGTTGACCTAATTTTGATACAACGAGAAAAATAAGAAGAAGAGCAAAATAATATGTATAAAAAAATAAACCCTCATATTCATGAACAAATACAAGTACGTTTAACCAAACATACTTACTATACATTGTAAATTTATATGTAAAAATGTATACATGTGATGTAAGGTTGATGGATGGATGGATGAATGTCTGTATGTATAGTATTCTACAAGCACAGATATCATACATCAGTAAACACTTTGTTACTGTGTTTTTTCCTTATTCTCCTCCAAAAATTTTGGTTTATTCATTTATTTTGGGTTTTTTTTCGTTGCTTTTCTTTTATTTTTGGCAATTTTTATTTTACCCTTTTTTTGAATTAATGTAACCATGTGCAAAACAGTTTGCACACAATTTATTAATTCATTTTTATGCAGTGTTTCGCGTTAATTTTGTTGTTATATTTTTCCCTTACGAGTGTACACTTGTATAATGTTGTTGATATTTACTACTTACTACGTACTCTACATGTACATACTAATGTACTTGTTGGTTAAGTACCACTTTTTGGTTGTATATTTTTGGAAAATGCTATATCGTTTTTAAGCATTGTGGAATTTTTGTGGACTGAAGTTCGGATTAATGTTTGGCTTCGGAGTTATAAGGGGCATTTCATGTCAAGTGGACCAATTTATGAAAACAATTTCTTTCGATCGGGATTACTGTCAAACTTTGACCCACTGTAACTCAGGAAGTTCTTGTCCGATCTTGTTGAAAAATTATGTTTAAACTATCATCCAATAGGACTAACATTGGGGCAAATGTCATTCCGATCGAAGGGCATCGGTTTCAAAAGTTAGGTCCCTTGACATGAAATCCACCATATACACACAATATTTGAAAGAACATGAATTTCAACATGAATTTGGGATTTGGGTACATAATACAACGGAACTGCAGCAGAAGCACAAACTAAATGTACTGCCTCCACAATACTCTAACGAAACCCATAGCGATATTATTTTGATATCTGGTTTTTAGTAGAGAAAGCTTTGCATCCCTATGTATTACTGCTATATATAGTTGCCATCCCTATCTATATACAAATCTTATACCTTCAGACTTTACGTTATGAAAGTTTTATCAAATCAGCCAACATATGTATGTGTGTGTAAATCCCTTCATACTCTAAAATTTTACAAGAATGCGTTATTTTCTCTGTGTTAAACTGTAATTGGGAGTTAACTATATAAAGTTTGCATAACATTATATATCACAGATAATCATTAAACTAAAAGTATCGCAACTTAAAAAAATCTTTTGAAAGAAGTGTGTGCTTAAAAGTCATACATGCCGATTGTAGATTTACATATTTTATTATTTATTCTCATTTGAGTATCTGCATTCAAAACATTTTATTTGTAGTTGTTTTAATACATACATACACACATACATATGTACATATCTACATTGAAACTAATTAAAATACATGAATAAAAGGTACAAGTATATGAGTATGTATGTATATTACCCATATACATACATTACATTTTTGACTCGTATATGTCTCTACATTGTAACAGTAAAAATAAAATGCGTTTTCATTATTAAACGAGCAGCTGCAATGTATATTTTTAATAATTTTTATAATGTCATACACAAACATCCATCCATACATCCATATATATTTTTTGTTATTGTGTGTTTGAGCTTTTTTAAGGATTAATAAACAAATACTTGATTTCTTGCTGTCAATTATACGCGATTTTACAGATTTTTTTATTTAATTTTTGTTTTGTTTTATTTCAGTTCCCAAAGTTTAATTGAATTTCAAATGTTTTAATGAAGCATGAATTAATTTTTTTTTTTTCGTTTTTGCCATTGTCATTTTCGAACAATTTATAATGGTTGTGTTAACGATTCTCTACTGTCAGTCAGTCATTCAGTTCGAGCTTTTATTTTCTGTTTTTGTTTTAAATTTAAAGAGACCATAAAACTTTAGCTTGTTGTTGTTGTTTTAATATTCATTTAAAGTTCAATTATTTCCGTAAGCCCTATAAGTAGAACAACATTATCATCATCATGTGTAAACTTTAAAATTTGTTTGGTTTATTTCATTCCAGAGAATAAACAAAAAAACAACTGAAAACGGAAAACAGGAACAGAAAATAAAATAAAAT